GTGTCCTGCAGGCCGTCGCGGAGACAGGTGTCAGCACGAGTGCGACCCTGGCACGTTCGGGAAAAATTGCAGCATGAGGTGTTACTGTGAAAACACGCGTTGTGTGATCCAGTCAATGGTAGCTGTATTTGTGCTGAAGGACAGTCGGGCGAGTTTTGTCAGCACGTCTCCATTCCTGCGAACAATCAAGTCGCTGTTGTAGTGTTGTCGTCCGTTATTCCGACCATTGTGGTAATCGCCTGCATCGTCACTGGAATCCTGTTGAAACGGGGTCACCGACAGGCAAAAGTTGACTCAGAAATGACGTCCGTCATAATCATGGAAACCCTTTCGTCATGGGAAGTAGACAGAGAGGACATTCGCTTCGAACACATGATCGGGGAGGGAGAGTTCGGCCATGTCGTACGGGCAGGGCTGCGCGTGCCGGAAGGGTACGAGGTTTTGGTCGCGGCTAAAACTATCCGGCCCGACCGCAAGATGGCGTCTACTGTCCGCGACTTTCGACGAGAAATGGACATTCTCGCCAGAATCCACGAGGACAACGAGGGACACCCGAACGTGGTGAAGCTTTACGGAGTTCTGACCAAGTCGGAGCCTCAGTACATCCTGGTAGAGTACGCGAGCAATGAAGAGCTACGCCGGTACCTGTGGACTTTGCGTGAACAGTGCAAGATCACAGGGGATAGGAAACTGTTAGAGCGTCTCGGTTTCGCTTCTGACGTGGCCTGTGGGTTATCGGAGCTGGCACGTCTGAAGATCGTGCACCGGGACATCGCAGCTCGCAACGTCGTCATCAGTGACAGAAAAGTGGCCAAGATCGCGGACTTCGGACTTGCGCGTGACGTCTACGTGTCGTCGGCGTATGAACGCACCGAGCAAGGCGGGGAGGAGGAACTGTTACCGCTGAAGTGGATGGCCGTGGAGTCGTTACGGGACGGGGTGTACACGTGTGAGAGTGACGTGTGGTCGTACGGCGTGCTGCTGTGGGAGATCACCAGCTTCGGGGAGGAGCCGCGCTACGCTGGCGCTCCGATGCACCCGGACGTCTGCACGATACTGGAGCTGCTGAGGAAAGGCGTCCGTCTGCAGCAGCCGCAGAACTGTCCGCTGCCGGTGTACCGCATCATCAGGTCATGTTGGGTGTTCAACCCATCGAGGCGGCCAACGCCTGACGAGCTGGTGCGGAAAATTGACCTGCTGAGGCCGCAGAGACAAGCTGCGCACCCGGGGTACCCGGGCAATCACTACATTCGATAAACTTTCCAAGTTTAATGTCAACAAACATCTGTCCTCACTGGCTGTACCCAAAGCAACCCAAAGCATTTGAGTGGCTCTCATGAGCCTTGTTTTGTGGTGAATCATGAAGTAAAAAAATAAATAAATAAAAAAGGGACCTCGGAACAATGGACTCCCCTTTATACTTATACATCATTGTTATCATATATCAAGGCAAAATTGTAAGACCGCTTATATGGCTAGACATTGATAAAATCTAAGAATATTAGCCACAAATTTGAAAACGACCATGTTCCGGTACTTGTAAATAATTATTTCGTTTTAGCATTAAAATATAATACACACTGTATTAGAAATAAAATATCAAGATATTAAGATAAGATAGTACAATTTCAAGAAGCATAGTCTCCCTTATATCTATAGTTTTTACATCATTGTTATCATATATTACGGCAATATTGCAAGAACACAGAATATTTTGGTAAATAATGATAAAATCTAGGAATTTCAATCATAAAACGATCATGTGTTTTTTAAATACTTACTTCGTTTTTGTAATATACTACCTTTAAGTTCATGTTGATTTGATTATATGGATGACATCCGCGCGCGCATGAATTTTCGTGCGTTTCCAAGAAAAAAAGTTTTCGACCATACTGTAAATCGTACATAATGAGCAAATATATGTCGTATGTTGCGAAAAGGTATTGGACCAATGTCATAGAATGCCAACATCAATTCAGGAAAAGAAGAAAATGAGAAGGAATGAAACTGAAGAGTTTATTTGAATATTTTGGACATCAATATATTTTAATTGTCCCTTTTAACTTGTCAGTTTATTAACCATAGTTTATCAGACACATTTGAAAACTTTCTCAACTTTCGTTCACAATTCCGACAAACCCGTCATAGCTTCCAATTACACATACCCCTATACAGAACCTCCCAGGCCCAGATGAATGTGAAATTTAAAAGTGCCCTTCCATGGAATAATCTTCCCCTTTCCCTCAAAAATCTTACCTCTCTTCAAACTTTGAAACGTAAATTAAAACATCATTTCCTATCCATGACTTTTAAACTCTTCACCAAATACATCCTTAGCAAGTTATGCCGCGGCTTATAATTAGCATCACTGTTATATAAAAATATTTTATATTATCTTTCTGTCATTATCATTTACCATTGTTTGTGTAGTTTTATTTTGAGACCTCGAGATATATTGGTATTATACTTTGATTTCACCTATGTTTTTTTTCTTATCAATTGTATAATAAACTAGAGTTCCACGATCTCATACCTTCGCCAAATGATACTATTCTTTATGACTGACAAAGTAAAGATTATTCCTCCTGATTATAGGATCCTCATATGCACGAATTATATCAGATGATCATATTCTCCATCAAGAGACAGCCTTATCTTAGAAAGGCATTCTATCATTTCCTCATAAATTATGCAAATGAGGTCCTTATTAGAATAAGTTATGTTTAATGATGTTCACCTTCACTTAAACTTTCAAATATCCCAAGTATGAAATTCCAGGTAGTTACCATTATGGAATTATAACATTTTCTCATTAATTATGCAAATTAAGTGTTAATTTACATAATCAATATCTGCCTGTGTTTCTTGTGTTATCAATTACATATGTCACAAGCTTAGCTGGTCCTATAATGCAATGCAGCTGATTTATAGAATTTCCTCATAAATTATGTAAATTACATCATATTTGCATAATTGTCGTAAAACTTTGTCAAGCCTTACTTCAGGTACCTACAAACTAAAAATCATGACGATCCGTCAACCGGTTCTTGAGTTATCCTCTTTTTAATATTTTTAAAGAAACGCCGCTGCAGTTCCTGAGCAAGCCGCTAGGGATCTCAAACCTACGTCACTTCTTTTTCAGCACAAGAGCTACCTACCGTCCAAATTTCGTGACCCTAGCACGTCCAGATCGTGAGATATCAAAAACCGAAGTTCTGCTGCAGTACCACAACAAGCCTTCAGGGGGCCCAAAACCTAATCATTTCTAGGTCTCATCAAGACCTACCCACCTACCAAGTATGAAGACAACCCATTTAAGCCTTCTTGAGTTATCGTGTTTACAGACAGACACACACACGAACGCCTCTGAAAACATGACCTTCTTGGCGAAGGTAATAATGATCATAGATACATGTAACCGAACCGTGCATTGTGACACTTTTCAAAGCAAATTAGGTAAGAATCAGAGATAGCGAAGACAATCTGTGATGTAACAACGTACTGCTCATGTGGCCAAACAAAATAGTGACATTCATATTTTAATTTAAAAACTACTTATTCAAAGTAACACTGGTATGGAAATATCTAGTTTTTCATCCACTACAACTTATTTTTCTGCATAATATACTACATGATTGTATAAATATTAAACCAAATATGAATGACAAAGTTTAGTAATACCTACGATCATTACTTTATCCTGGTTTTAAATGCTTGTCTTCCGTAGAGTCTCGGTCTGGGTGTGAGACCAATATAAGCACGTTAGGCCCAGATTTAGCCAGAAGGATGTATGTAGTGTATTCGCTGGGGGCAAGTTGGAGCCGATGAACTACTAAAGCTGTATAAAATTATCATCATCCTCAAAGCTGTTACCCTGGAAGCCAGAACTCGTTTTCCGGGCAGCAGGAGCCCTTCGCCCGCTGGTGTAAATTACCGCTACGAGGGAGTCTAGCCCGGGGGGAGTTTGGCTGGCCCTACAAACGATAATAGTAATAGGGCCGGACAAACCCTTGGGCTCAACTCCCCCGTAGCGGTAATTTAGGCTGGCGAAGGGCTCTAGGCTGCCGAAGGAAAACGGCTAACGGCCCGATACTAGCTTTGGCATCCAGGGTACAAAGCTGTGTATAGTACGTAGGCCCTGGAAACAGCCTGGTACCGAAGCTACAGAGCCCATGTATTATACATGTAGAATTAGCTTACCGAATCCATTTTTGACCATGAGGGTTACGTTGTCCCAACGTATTTTTAAAGAAGGAGTGAAATTCTGTAAATAACCTACTTTTTACCATTTACCGTCCCAATGGATGTTTTAACATATGATTTAGTAATGCAATAATCATCATACACATTATATACTAGTAGATTCTTTATTGACACTAAGTACAGGGACTTTTGTATGGTCTTCTACAACTAAAGATCTAACAAAGTTAAATACATGTATAGATGACTTCATCCTACGTATATGTTGCAAATTACGTACGGAATATATATCAGTGATAACAATATGGAACACATTCTTACCCTGTACACGCCTTGCCTTGAATCGGGTAACCGTAGGTTGAGCAAGTCACAATATATGCCACAGGAAATATAGGTAATGCTACTTTTGAACCATGTAATAACTGTGTGCTATTACGTCCTCCTATTGACGTTAGCACAAGGCCCGCATAATCAGCACGGCGAATTCGGAAATTACACGGAAATGGTGGTAGCAATTTGTGGTGATGATGAATATTTATAGAGAAGGTAGGGTTTCTGAGAAAGAGGCATATTTTTTTGGCTTGGTACAAACTTTTTATGTATTATAGTGTATATGAGGAACTGCATATATCGCTTGTCCTGCTTATTGTAACTTTTTTTTTCTGTACGCAAACTCTTCCAATTCAGGGATTCTCATCCCTGCTGCAAGGTTTGCTTTTTGGTGTTGAAATAAATAAATAAAATAATACATAAGCACATGCATGAATGCATATACTGTGCATACATGCACAAAAAGTACATGTACACTATACAATGATAAGCGCCTATTGCTGTTCACCTTTCTTTCCACTTGTTCAATTGATTTCAATACGTAAGAAAAATTTCAACTACATTCTCAGGGGAGATAACCAATACAGTGTTCAAATAGGAAAATATAGAAAGAAAGTTTTGATCTTAGAGACCACATGTTAGAGAATAGTTAACCTTTATTGTTACCGCATACATATACTCTGTACGTAAGATGACGTTATCCACACATGTATTTAGCTTTGGTAGATCTTTAGTTGTAGAAGACCATACAAAGGTCCCTGTACTTTTTTGTTGTGTCAATAAAGAATCTTCTTCATGTACAATGCAGAAGTAGTGGCAAAACCTGTACATATCTATAATTAGTGTCAATATGGTCGTTTTCCTTTAATAGACTCTGAAGGGTCTGCCTTCAAATCTAGGTCCCACTGTTGTGTCCTCAGGAAATCAATTTTACACCCGTAGTATACATACTTCCGAAACGTCAGCACATTTAAGTGAGAATTGTCTGTGTAAATAAGAACACTCTTGTAACCTATAGATACTTCCTAAATTAGTACGTAGCTTTGGTTAGTGTAAGGAGCATTTGATTTCAAACCTGCAGCTTGGTTACGGCTGTCCTCTCTTGGGTGGGACAACGAGCCGGATGAGAGCATGCCTGTAGCCAGGATTTTGAATGGGGGGTTCTTCCCACTGCTTCAGGGACTAGCGAGCGCCATAGGCCCGAGGTTCCTAGGGGGATCTGGGGTATGCTTCCCCGGAAATTTTCGGAAAATAAACCTTCTGCAATGGCATTTCCTGTATTTTTGAGAGGATTTCAGAGAAAAAAAATCAGAGATAAATTTTTATTCAATGACAAAGTGAGCAGTATTTCTACGATTCCAGGCCAGATAAAAAGTGGACCAAAAAGTAACATTCAGCCTTGTGAGGAGGGGGGGGGGTCGGAAGAACCCCCCCTGGCTACGGGCGTGGAGAGCTACACCTCGAGCACGTTAAAGATCCCATGGGCCCTTCCCGGTGTGAGTGGTTCAAACCTTAAAGTCCGTAGTTACCCAGCTTGTACAAAACTAGTGTGTTAAGCCTAAACGCAGTTTTACCAGTTATGCAGAACAAATACAATCTTAACTGCGCATTTTCTTCATTATATTTTCCCTTATGTATGAGTTATTGCCTTCGACGAGAAGGCTATGAAATCGTTTTGGCACTGTTTGGCAGATTATGCACGATAAATTTTGGCATGATCCGAGGTTCACGATTTTTGGCAGGCAGGTTGTCTTAGTGATGGGCATTGTCAAGGCCAAAAATGGGCTTCGTGGGTGTTTATGTGTGCAGGCGTTCAATCTCTATGTGTACTAAATGCGTCTCCTGTATGCACTGTTTATCAAACTTAATTGAAATACTTCCCAATGGAGAGTTGCTTTTTATATTCATTTGAAATATTTCTCAACGAAGTGTACAGATTTGTACAATGAAGTGTATTATTTGCTTATTTGTTTGTTTATTTGAATTTAC